ATTAAGAATCTGTGTGGCCTCGCTTTCTTCATCTGCCCATTGTGTTTTGGGTTTGGGGGGGGGGGTGGTACCAGGGATCGAACTTGGGTCCTTGCGCTTGCGCAGCACGAGGAGAAACCACTGAGCTAAATCCCCAGCCCCCATTGCGTTTTTTTTTAGTGGACACAGAGCTTCAGGGAGTCGCTGCTCCTTGAATAGGAGCTGGGCTTTACAACCCACAGGCTCAGCTCTCAGCTCTCACCGCTGCTTACCCCACTTTTTGCCCCATCCTAGTTCCCATGAGCCACATTCTCACTGGCCTCCTCACCTTTGGTCTGCTGTGCCCTCTGCCCACCACCAGCGGACACCCTGCCAGCCTCCACCCCAGTTCCACTTCCTCCAGGAAGCCGTCCCTACATTCGGCATCTTCTCCCTGCCCTTCTGCACATAACCCACAGTCTGCTCCACACATCCCCATTGTGGTCTATGTCACATCCAAAGGGTGATTAATTATCTATGTACAGTGACAGCAGCTTCCCTGTGTGAGGGATTGTCATTGTCACAGTGGGGATGGCGATGGGGACATTTCCAGCACTCTAGAGGCAGCTCAGTGGAGCTTGGTGGCCCCCAAAGCGTGGGAAGCAGAACAATGTCAGGTAGTCTGTGGATGAATGTTTTTAATTGTAATAGTCTCATATTTGTTTTCTTTCTTTTTATGTCAAGTGATATTGGTTTTCCATTTATAATAATGATTACTTTTTTTCTCTTTAAAATGCACTTAAGAAAAAAAAAAGGAAGAGTCAATTGGAAGAAAAATAGTAACTAAATCATAATTCAGGTGTGGGTGGGAAGGCCGAGGTCATGTTGTCTACATGAGTAACTCCAGCCTGGGCTGCCCCGATGAAGCAGGACTCTAGGGTGTGTTCAAGCCCATAGGTGGGGGCAAGGGTCTTGGGCACCCCAGTATCTGCCCATTGGGGGCACATAGACCATGGGAAGGGAAAAGTTAATAAGGGCAGTCACCACCAAGGACACCTGCAACTTCTGGGGCCCCTCGAAACACCTGTGGCTGCAGAGCTTCAGGGTGGGTGAGTGCCAGAGGACTTCCTAGTAGAGGTGACATGAGTTGGGGCTTCACAGATGAGGAACACTGGGGCAGGCACAGGAGGCATGGAGGGGAGAGGGTGAGAAGGAACAGGATGTGTGAGATGTGGGTGTGAGAGACAGTGCCATGTGGTCTGTGCATGGGTAGTGCAGCTTGGGAGTGGAATAGCTGGGTAACCTTGGGCAAGTTCCTGAGCTTTTTTTGTAAACCTCTGTTTTCCCATCTGTGAAATGGGAGAGTATCAAGTACCTCCTGGCATTGTTGTATGGGTGTTGGTGAAAATATCTGGTTCCTAATAGGGTCTCAATGTACATGAGCTCTCAGCCTTTGTAGATTTGGGGATCCGTGGGGAAATACCTGGGGTTGATGGGGAGGAGGGAGGAAGTGTGGGTGGTAGAAGTAGAGCTTGGCTTCCTGAACCCATCTAGGTTCCTGAGGCAAAAACTACCAATTCCAAATTCCCCCAGGAACAGGGACTTTTGTGCTTGCTTTGAGAGAAACAAAGAGGAAACACAGGGCATCTCAGGAAAATGGCATCGAGTGAGCAGGAGGGGCTTTTCAGAGGCTGTGGCCATCCAGCGAGAAGCTGATGTTAGTCAGATGTTGCCTGTGGGATAGGGGGAGCCAGCCAGACTAAACTGGCGCCTCTTGGCCCCCTTCACTTTCAGGGCCCACCTAATGAGCCCAAAGGAAGTGGCATGTGTGCAAGCCCTGGGTGAGCCAAAAGGTGCTGCACTCCAGCTAAAAATAATAGCTGCTCCTTATGGAGGGTCTGTGCTATGCAGGGCCCCAGGCTGACACACTCGTCCTCCCAGTCAGTCTGCGCATCCACACTCAGAAGGTATTTTGGCGAGGAAACAGGCTTAGAAAGAGCCAAGGTTGAGGCAAGTTGTAGCTCAGTGGTAGACCTCTTGCTGGAGATACATGAGGCTCTGGATTCCATCCTCAGCCCTGGAAATTCAAAAAGGCCCAAGGTTACAAGACAAGTAAATGAGAGAATCAAAGTCTCATGCAGAGGGTGGAGGGATGCATCAGAATTGAAAAGCAAAGGGCTGAGGAGCTGGGCACCGTGGTGCTTGCCTGCAATCCTAGCTACTCAGGAAGCTGAAGCAGGACAGCATGCTCAAGCCAGCCTGGGCAACTTAGTAAGACTCTGTCTCAAAAAATAAAATGAAAAGGGCCAGGGAAGTAGCTCAGTGCTAGAGCACTTGCCTAGGATGTATGAGACCTTGATTTCAATCCCCAATACTGAAAAAATAAAAATTCAATTTAAATTTTTAAAAAGAGCTGGGGAAATTGGGGGAAAAGAAGCTTGTCACCAGCTTTTGCAGAGCCAGGTCTGACAAGGAAGGAGCAGAGGAGGAGCCGCACTCTTCCCTCTTCCAGCCACCTGCAGACTTCGCGTTTCCTCTTAGTCCTGTGGCACTAAAGCAGCTGGTTCACTTCCAATCCTTGCCAATTCCCACCTAGCATGTTTTACAGGAGCAGGAAAGTGAGGCAGTATACCCCCTGGCCTGGCCTTTTGAGGAGCCAGGGTTTGAGCCTCCTCCACCCTTTTTTTTTTTTTTTTTTTTTTGGTACTGGGAATGGAACTCGGGCCCTTGCACTTGTGGGGCAGGCAGTGGAACCACTGAGCTAAATCCCCGGCCCGAGCCTCCCCTTTTGCAGTAGTAGGGATTGAACTCAGGGCCTTCACACTAAGCTGCATGCCCAGCCCTTTTTATGCTTTGAAATGGGGTCTCACTAAGTTATTAAATTGCCCAGGCTGGGCTTGAACTTAAAATCCTCCTGCCTTTTGGCAAGTCATTTGCCCTCCCTGGGCCCAAGTTTCCATCCGTACAATGGGGACGTCAGTTCCCAGTCCCTCCTTCTCTGGACTACAGAACCTTCCAGCACTTGTCCTCTGGGTCAGCCCAGGAATCTAGCCAAGGGGTGGGGCCACCTGCTTGGCGGGCTTGTTGCCCCCACCCGACCCCTTTTGGTCCTGGGCGGTCTCTCCTCTCCCTTGTCTGCACAACTCCCAGCAGCTGTTCATCAGGCCTAGGCAGAGAGCCCGGCTTGGCGTCTCAGGCTGAGGCCGATGAGAGAAAACAGGTGAAAAGTTCAGCCCTTGTTCTCTCCAGGAAGAAAAATCTGTAGCCTTCAGAGTGTGAAAAGGAGCCCTTTCTTCAGCTCCAAAGCTGTACAATAGAACTTCCCTCCAATGTGCCATCAAAAAGATGCCCCTGGCACTAGCTCTACCGTCCCTGGCACCCCCGGCTGCCCCCTCCCTGCACCAGCCCCCAGTGTAAAGGGACACAGTAACCACAAACACAAGCCACAGGCGGTCAAGGGGACGCTTCTGCATCCCCTCTTGACAGCTCAGAGGTCTAACTGGGGTCACCTCCAGCCAAATGCTTCCTCCCCTCCTCGCCCTCCATCCCCACCGCCCTGACGTAGGTCACATTACCTCATTGCCTCCCATTTGGACTTGCTTGACAACCTGGACACAGGGAACTCTGCCCCCACCTTCTGGTCCTGATGTGTCCGGCACAGGCCATCAGACTCATTATTTCAACAGTCTAGAAATTTACAGGGTGGGAGACAGGTCACCTGTACTTCTATTCTGCCACCAACTCCCCTGTGGCCTTTTGGAGGCCCCTCCCTCTCCCTGTGTGCTAGCTACTCTTTCTGCAGAATGAGGCAGTTGGGCCATAACTCAAGTGGTCAGCATTGGCTTCCTAGAGTGCCATGCTGAGAAGCTCTGTGTGCCACAGCGTGTGGGGATTGATTGGTGATGTCTGAACCAGGTATAGAATTAGAGCAAGGCTGCCTCCAATCCATTCTCACTGAGCTAGGTGGCATGGAAGATCCAGCTGTGACCTTCTAAGTTCCTCCGCCTTCTTTTTCATAGCCATTTCTATTCCTGTGTCGTCTCCACTACCACAGTGTGAATGAAGGTTTCACCATTTGCTTTTTTCCTGCTCAGGGTACCTAGCACATTGCCTAGTACATAATGGACATCAGGATCTGTTTGTTGAATGAACGCTTGAAAGGGGTCTATTAATTCAATGCATTGCAATTCAGTTTGAAAAGTGTTTTGAAGCCCCTTTGGCAGAGAAGGGGTAGAAGGGAAGAGTCCTGAGGCTAGGGGCAGGGGTGGCATCTCTAAGGCCCTGTGAGTCTCCATTACCCTAGGCTGTGTGACTCCTTCCCTGTAGCTGCTGGTCCAGAAACTGATCTGAGTCTCCTGCAGCCCCAGAAGACATGTGACAACTGGCCTCCTTCCCCCTCAGGGATGGGGAAGGGAGATAATGGAGGACTCCAGGCTCCTGGAGAGGGAGGCAGGGTACCTTGACAGAATGTGAGGCCAGAGAGGGAAGACAGGGTACCTGATGCTGCTCAATGAAATGGAATAAAGACCCCTCTAGGGCTTGTGTTGCTGTTTTTGAGGATTTGATACAGCTGAAAAGTGAACAGATACCCAGAATTTAATGCAAGTTTGAAGGTTTGGTGATGGCTCCTCAAGAACCCATCCAGAACACCCAGGTTAAGACCCTTCCCCAGTGGAAAAGGAAAGTACCTAGGTCAGTGAGACTTGATTGGCTGGTGGCAGGGAGGGTGGGTGCTGACCATGGGTAGAGGCCCTGAAATTGGCACTAGAGTGGCAGGACCTAGAAAAATAGAATAAGATGATTGGCCAGGCTATAAGAGTGGGTGGAGTTATGGAATGGAGAGTCAGGGTCCAAAGGCAGTGTGGTCTAGAGGATTACAGTTGGGTGATTGTTTGGAGCAGTGTGTGTATGGGTGTGTGTGTGTGTGTGTGTGGAAGGGGCATCTGTAAGGGAACAACCTCGAGGGGAGGGATCTTAAGGTCAGAACACAGTGATTGACAGTACTGGAAAGGCCAAGTGGTGACGCTTTGCTCTCCCCACAGAAACGCTGATGGACTCCACTACTGCGACGGCTGAGCTGGGCTGGATGGTGCATCCCCCATCAGGGGTGAGTTGGTGGTCCCCAAACCCCATTTGGTCCCCCAAAATAGCTTGGCATCTGCCACAAGGCCTGAAAGCCCCTCACACTCCAGCCCCTTTCCCCACTTCAGGGCCCAGAGTCCCACCTCTCAATCCCCTATCATTGATGGAGCACTCATTACCATGGCAACATGGTGGATGCTTTATCCTCAAGGCAAGGCCAAGAAGTAGACACTGGCTCATCCCCCATTTCAGATGAGGAAAGTCCACTGTCACTTCCTGAGTACCCTTTCTATGCCAGACACTGTATCAGGCAGGCACCTTTATACATGCCATCTCTGGTCCTACCACAGGGAGGAATTACCTCTCTTACTGATGAGGAAACTGAAGCCCAGGGAGGCTTAGCTACCTACAGCTAGTAAGTGAAGGGGCTCAGGTTTGGTTTTTTTTTTTATGTGTGTTTATTTTGTTGTTTTTTGTGCTTTTGTGTGTGCGTGTGTGATGCTGGGGATTGAACCCAGGGCCTCATTCATGCTGAACACACACTCTACCATGGACATGCACACCAGCTGGGGCTCAGGTTTGTATCCAGAGTTGTGCCAATTCCTCTCTTCCCCTTTTCTGGGTTCCCATAACACAAGGCCCCCCTCTCTATCTGTGGTTCTTTTCACTGTACTTTCTTGGTTTGGGTCATCTGAGCCCACATCTGGGCTAATTCCTTTCTCCCTAGCACTTGCAGAAGGGATGTGGGGTCAAATATTTCTAAAATTCTGTCCCGGTGCCGCCTATGTGCTGTGTGATTTGGGGCTGGTTCCTTAATTTTTCTGAGCTTCGACTTCCTTGTCTATCAAATGATGATGACGACTACCTCAAAGGGCCATTGTGAAGTTTTCCTGCAAGGTCTCTAAGGTTGGCTCCCAATAGAGAGTAGCTATGATAAATATCACCATCATCATCACTGTCATCAGTTTTAATACTCCTCCTGGTCTCTGGGGAGGGCTCGAATGCCACAACCGTTCCCCTCCCTTCCCCCCACCCCAGCTCCTCCTCTGAGACTCAGCTGCAGCCCCCAGGAGCTGCACCCCCTCCAGGCCTGCGCTCTCAATAGACAGGGCCCCAGGGTCAGGCCTCTTTCTGTGGCTCTTTCTTGTCACCAATTTTCCATCTGCGAAGGCGGCTGGGCCCACAGCCCCACCCTGCCAGTAATGAGGCCAGGCTGGGCTGCAGGGCCCCCGGACGCAATTATTTGGGGTGTTTGGGCTGCAGGGCCTCCGCATGTTAATTAGAGAGAGGGGAGAAAGGCAGAGTGCTCTAATTAAGTGCTCTAATTAAGTTCTGAAGAAGAGCAGCAGTTGTAACAAGGGGCTGACTTTGTCACATGGTGCCACCAAAAAAAAAAAAAAATTAAAGGCAATCTAGGGAGCTTCAGAGTGGCCATTGCAGGAGAGGCTGGGCTAGCAAGCCCCAGTTTGGCCTCCCCTCCCACACTCACCCCTTGTAGCATCTGACCATTCCCTGTGCAGACTTGGCCCGGAGGATCTGAGTGGCAAAGGAACAAAAGACACCCACTGGAGGGTGACACCTGTCCTAACACCTGCCAGTCTCGTAGTCCCATTTGGCAAGTGGGGAGATAATGGCCTAGAGAGGCTGAGTGACTGACCCAGGGTTATGTGTCAAGTTAGTTAGCAGCTCTGTGTTCCGAGATGGCACAGGGAGGCACATGGTTGGGTCTGGGTTCATGTGACCTGGGTCAGTCAGGTGACCTCACTTGCCCTCTGCTGAACAGTGGGGGCAATGATGCCATGTGTGCAAATCATGACCAAAAAATGACACCCAGCCCCAGGATCCTAATGAGAGGGGAGGCTCTGCTCTTGGGCCCCTTTTCCACCTACCCAGGTGAAGCTAGAGCAACACCAAGGGGGACCTGGGAGAAGGAGAGGATAAGTGGCTCCCCTCAGCAAGCTCTCTGGCCCACTGGGGAAACCAGAGCAAGGGGGCCAAATGTGCTAGGCCCTTGCCAAGGGAGATTGTCCCAGAGGCGAGAGGGGAGTTGGTGGACCCAAACACAAGCAGCCAGGGGACGGCCTGGTGTGAAGAGGCATAACAAGGGTGCTTGAGGGTGCTGGTGGCTTAGTGACGCAGCACTTGCCTAACATGCACACAGCCCTGCATTCTGTTCTGAGGCCTGCATAAAACAAAACCAGACAAGAAAGGGTGCTTGAAGAAGGCACAGAGTTGACCAAAGGCTCAGCCATGAGGACGAGCTGGGTCTGTGAGTCTCAGCTTCCTGTCAACTGGCCCAGCCCTCTGCAGCACAGAGACTGTAGTTCTTGGTTAGGTTCTTGATGCCCTGGCTGGGATCTCATGTGTGCTGGAGCACATTTTCTGGGCAAGAAGGAGAGAGAAGGCAGGCAGGCACCCTCTGTGAACCAGTGATCAGGGAGCTCTCTTAAGGAATCTTAGCAGCAGAAAGCCCCAGAGAAAGGCCCTGACTTTCCTGTCACCCTAGGAGGTCAATGGGGGTGAGGACTGTCTTCCTCCATCAGAATGGGAGTCCCAAAAGGCAAGCACTGTACCTCCCTTGTCAGATAGGTAGCTCACAGAGGGCAGAAGTTCTTCTTCCCCTAGCAGACTGGCAGCCCCCAAGCACAAAGCCATCTACCTTCATCAGAAGGAGCTCGCTAGGAGCGTGGCCCTCCATTTGTCCTTGCAAGTGGGAATTTCCTGAGCTCAGAGTCTGTGTCTCCTTTAGCAGATTAGTGAACCCCTGACAGCAGGAGCCGCATTTCCCACATCTACCAGGGGAGTACCAAGAGTAGGGCATGTGCCCTTCCCATTGGATTGGTAGTTTGCCACTTTTATAGCCTGGCAAGTTCCTTGGGATCAAGGTCACATCTCCCCCATCAGATTGGGAACGCTTTGGTGCCTCCATTATCAGACTGGAGGGTCGCCAAAACAGTCTGTGTCTCCCCACGAGACAGGGTGTTTTCTGGGGCTGAGCCTCTACCTTCCCAACCTGACTGGCGTTTCACCCACAGTGGGAAGAGGTGAGCGGCTATGACGAGAACATGAACACGATCCGCACGTACCAGGTGTGCAATGTGTTTGAGTCGAGCCAGAACAACTGGTTACGGACCAAGTTCATCCGGCGCCGTGGTGCCCACCGCATCCATGTGGAGATGAAGTTCTCAGTGCGTGACTGCAGCAGCATCCCCAGCGTGCCTGGCTCCTGCAAGGAGACCTTCAACCTCTACTACTATGAGGCTGACTTCGACTCAGCCACTAAGACCTTCCCCAACTGGATGGAGAATCCGTGGGTGAAGGTGGACACCATTGCAGCAGACGAGAGCTTCTCCCAAGTAGACCTGGGTGGCCGGGTCATGAAGATCAACACTGAGGTGCGGAGCTTTGGACCTGTGTCCCGCAGTGGCTTCTACCTGGCCTTCCAGGACTATGGTGGCTGCATGTCCCTCATTGCTGTGCGTGTCTTCTATCGAAAGTGTCCTCGCATCATCCAGAATGGTGCCATCTTCCAGGAGACACTGTCGGGGGCAGAGAGCACATCGCTGGTAGCCGCCCGGGGCAGCTGCATTGCCAACGCTGAAGAGGTGGACGTGCCCATAAAGTTGTACTGTAACGGGGACGGCGAGTGGCTGGTGCCCATCGGGCGCTGCATGTGCAAAGCAGGCTTTGAGGCTGTGGAGAATGGCACTGTCTGCCGAGGTAAGGGGCACAGCAGGGCAAGTCCCCCTGCAACTGCATGGAGTTGGCATTGGTGGAAGGTTTAGGCCTGGCAGCTGGGGCTCAGGCTCGCTCAGGGGAAGGCTCAGGGCCAAACCCTGAGGCTATCTGAGGCAGTTTCCCAACCTGCAGCTTTGCTTAGCTTCTCAGAGGGAGGACCTTGGTAGCACTTTCAAGCATGTAGGATGGGAGGTATACCAGATGACTTGGATTGATATAAGGATAATGGCTTTTTGTTCTAATTATTGTGTATTTGTGATGACAAATGATAGGTATTTTTCTTTACTTACAAAAGTAATATGGTTTCCTAGCAAGATGTGTGGCACACACCTGTAATCCTGGCACTCTGGGAGGCTGAGGCAGGAGGATCACAAGATTGAGCCCAGCCTGGGCAGCAAAGCAACTTAGTAAGATCCTATCTCAAAATATAAAAAGAGCTGGTGATGTAGCTCAGGGCAAAGACTCTGGGTTCAATGCCCAGTTGCAAAAAAAATGCTATGATTTCCAATGTAAGAAAATGAGTAAATCATAATAAATAATCTTTAGATGTGAAAGAGTTAACATTTATTGAGCTTTTGCTGTATTGGACAGTATAGGCCAGGCTAAGCTGAAGTAACAAAATAATCAAAGTTTATGCTGCAAGTCCAGCCTAGACTCCTCCTTCTGGGAGGCAAGCAGATAGAGATACTGCAAGCAGACAGAGATACAATATTGTAAACAGCAGATACTGTTTACAATATTGTCATCATCAGGACAGAAGGAAGGAAAGAATGTGGCAGGTTATGTGCTGGCTCTGGAGCTTCCATATGGAATGCCCCAAAGTAGGAGGGCACTGCAGGGTGTTAAGGGGGCTATGTAGACAGAAAGATGTGGCTTCCAATCACAATCCTCCCAGTTATTAGCTGTACAACCTTGGCCAAGTGCAAACACTTCTTTCATAAGGTATATGAGGAATCAAGCACTTAAAGCATGTAAAGTGCTCATAAGGTTTTTGGTGCACAGGAAGTGTCTAGTGATGTTCACGAAAGGAGATAATGTCTCCCAGCCCTGTCTGAGCAGGTGCCCTGCAGTGTGAAGGATGACAGTTGTGCAGAGGGATTTGAAGCCACTTATGCTACTTCCAATTGGAGTACGAGGTTGAGGCCAGATCCTGGTGTGTCCCAAATGCCAGGCTGAGTGTGGACCCTGTTCCCAGGGCACTGGAGAGCCAGGGAAAGCCTAGGCAGGGGGATGACTGAAGTGATCCTCACCTGTCGCCCACCTCTCTGGCTCCTCCCTCCAGGACTTGGAGATGAGCAGGCAGCATTTTCAAAATCCTTGAAAAGGTGTATGGGGGATGTCAGAGACAGGTGGCAGTGGCCTGCCCGGAAGCAGTGGCAGCAGTCTCCAGAGACGATGACAGCCTGGACCAAGTGTCACAGTACTGGGAGAGGGAGATGTGGTCAGAGGATGTTTTGCTAGTGAAATGGATAGAATGTGAAGGCAAGTCAGAGAGGGAGAGGGGAGGCATCAAAGGTGACAGAGAATTCCAGCTTTCAGGGAGGTTGTGATTTGGGAAAAGAAAGGAGAAAATTGGGAGAAAAGGCTGGTTTCTTGGGGAAGGTAACAAAGGGCTTTTTGTTGTTGTTGTTGTTGTTGTTGTTTGTTTGTTTGTTTGTTTTTGTGGGGTTTTGGGTTTTTTTTGGTGGCACTGAGAATCAAACCCAGGTCCTCATGCATGGTAGGCAACTGGTTTACCACTGAGCTACACCTCCAGCCTACAAATTCAGCTTTATAACCTTGGACAGAACACAGCCTTGGAAGATGACAGTGGTGAGACAGAGTAGGGGGATACAGAAACACGCAAACCAGAAACCAGTCACTCATGGATTGCTTATTCATTCATCAAACTTTGAGTCTGCCTATGTCAGACCTTGTGCTGCTGTAATGCAGAAAAGAATCTATCTATCTGTGCCATTGCCTTCTGGGCCTTACAGCCCATGAGGGAGACAGCGCTATAAATGCATAAGGGGGTTGGACTTGTTTTACTAAGAACTGCTCAGGCTGCGATGGGCACAGAAAATGACAGAAGGGTTCTCAGAGGAAGTGACATTGGAGTTGAATCTGGGGAGAGGGATATATTGGGTAGGTGGCCCCGGGCTTCTGAAGAATGGATCTATATGAATAAAGCCCTGGGACACCAATCAGCTCAGCTCTTTAGGGTGTCTATACCACCATGGTCAGGGGCTCCAGGAGGATGTAGGAAGGGCTGTCACTGGGGGGCACTCGGAAGAGGAAGTGCATTTGTTATCTACCGATGCATAACAAGTTACCCTAATGGAACAGTTTAAAACAGTAAACTTTCATCATCTCATAGCTTCTGAGGGCTGGATTCCAGGTGAAGCTGGGGTGGGACCTCTGGCTCAGAGACTTCCATGAGGTGCAGACTGGCTGGTAGCCGGGGCTATGGTGTCAACTGGAGGCTCCACTGCAGAAAGGTGGCTTCCAGGCTCCCTGGCATGATTGTCACAGGCCACGCATGTGTGGAATGACTTACTCAGAGAGAATGTGACAGAGCACCTGAGATAGAAGCCACTATCTTTTTATTATCTGATTTCTGAAGTGACATCTTCTGTTATATTTTCTTTATTCAAAATGGGTCACCAGGGCACAGACCCATCCAGCTGTAAGGGCCCTGAGGCATCATAGAAGTTGCCTATCAGAGGCAGGTTCCTGAGGTCAGAGCCTCCCTTGCAGGTACTGAAGATGCAGGTGGTGCTGAGCCAGGGTGTCCCAGGCCTGGTTCCTTTCCACACCTTTCCTCCCTGACAGGTCACCTTGGCCCAGGCCCAGCCCACCCAGCCTGCACTGGGTGCACCTGCGGCCAGTCAGACTGGCAGACAAGCTGAAAGAGCCCCAAAGGACACCAGCTGCTGTGTGTCCTGGGTGCACCCACCCAGATGGGGTGGAGGGGGGCTGCTCCTGCCCAAGTCTGGCAGGTACTGGCCTGGCCATCCAAGCCACAGAGGAGTGGAGATGACAACTCACATCTGAGTGCCTGGCCAAGTGCCTTCTCATCCTCTAGCTCAGAGATTCTCAGCCTTACATAGATCAGAACCACTGGCAAGTTGGTTAAGACACAGATGCCTGGGTATCTTCCCGAGGTCTGGTAGCATGGCCCTGAGGTAGGGTCAAGAATCAGCGTGGTTTTTTGTTTTGTTTTGTTTGGGGTTTTTTTGGTAGCGGGGATCAAACTCCGGTCCTTGAGCTTGCGCAGCAGGTGGCGAAACCACTGAGCTAAATCCCCAGCCCTAAGAATCAGCGTTTTTAAACAAGCAGCCCTGATGATTCCATACCAGGACCATTGGCCAGATGTGCACTGAGATAACACATTTTAGCCAGACCAAACTGGGACTCAAGGCCCAGGGCGGGGGGTGGGTGACCACAAGCCCAGCCCCAGCCCCACCCATCCAGGGAGTAGCTGCCCTCAGGAGCAGAATCTGGGAGAGTATGCTCAGAAAAGATCTACTGATTGGCCAAATACAATTCTATAGGAAAAATCCCATTGCTCTGTGAATGCAAATCACAGAAAATAGAACTGGATAGAGTCTTCTTGGCAGGTGGGGAGCAGGGGCATCCTCATGGGGAGCAGACACCACCCCATGGCAGGCAGAGGTGGCTAACAAGGGCTTGCTGGTTCACAGCACAGCCAGTGGTTTACAACACTAAGGGCTAAGCTGATTGAATCTTACCCACTTCCTCCAGTGCCTACTAAGTGCAGGACTCAGTGGAGAAAGCCAGTCATTCCACAAGCATGTATTGAGTACCCACTGTGTGCTATTTTAGCCCTCTAGTAAATGTGTGTTGAGCATACACAAAGGAACAAGACACAAGTGATGTGTGTTTATTACCTTCTCAGAGTTTTTACTCCAGGTGAGTGAATGGGGGAAGATGGAGGATGGGGAGAGTTAGTGAACAAATAAACCATTTACAGATTGTGATGAATGAAGGGGAGAGGGCAGCCTATGTGACCGGAGAGATTCACAAAAGGACCTTAGGAGGGAATGGCTTCTCGGGAGAGCTGGCACTTGAGCTGATGGAGGCTGCCCTGGGAGGGCTCAGAAGAGGGTCCCTGAGAAGCCCAAGCTTCGGGGCTTGCCCTCAGGGGCCCCTAGGTGAGGCAGGAATTCAGACACACATGGAGGACAAGGCAAAGCATATCCTACCCAAAGTGGGGAACATCCAAGCACTTCGAGAAGAAGGCATCCTTTTGGACTGGGGATCTTGGAAGGCTTCAGGGAGCTGGCATTTGAGTTAGGAAGAATGAACAGAAATAGGATGGGTAAAGGAAACTGTAGTTGAGGGAGCTGCATGACTCAAGGCCTGAGGTGACAGTACAGGGCGCCCTGAGAGATCACAGGTGCTCTTCCTGTGTAGGGGCCAGGGCTCACCTTTCCCCTGTACATTCACCTAATTCCATTTATTGAGTCCTGAACCTGGGCCTGACTGGCTGTATATCTGCCAGGGGAGGGCTCTTGGGACTCCTGCAGGAGAGCTCTGCCCCCTTCCCCTGCCAAGTCCCAGGCTCATCATGGAGCTTCCCATCAACAGGTGTGCTGGGGAGGCAGAGGAATACCAGAATTCCTGCTCTGCAGCTCCCACCCAAGGCCACAAGTTATTTACTTTGACTCTTTATCGTTCCTGGTTGGATTATAAAGTGCCCTGCCTCAGTTCTTCCAAATTGTCTGTCTCTGTATCCCTATTTCCCTTGGTTTCTCCTTGCCCCCCTCAGCCCCACTTTCCTCCTGCGCAGTGGGAGCCCCAGCCTAGCCACCTTGGGAGGCCCTGCCCTCCTCTGACCTGCATCTGCATCGGCAGTGGCTCTGGGGGCTCTGGGGGCAGTTCTGTGGTGAGTGCAATGGCTGTGATGCTATCAGGGCCTAATGGGATTGTTAATATTTAGCTTGGATTGGGAGAGGGGCTGAGAGCCAGCTCAGAGTGGT